ACACCCTCGAAGATCATAAGAATCCATCCTAATCAATGTCAGGAAACAGAAGAAGAACAGAGCACTAATTGATTTTACCCAAACAGCCTGCAAGTACGCCATGCCTTCTAAACTACGAGTCTCAGTTCTGACGAACGGTGAAGGTTTTTCTTACAAAAACATGAAAACAAACGCATATCCTCAAAATCCCTGCCTAATGAGGCCATGACATCTACAGTGCATACAAGAAATTGCAATAATTATAGTAGGAAGGTATTCCGCATAGCTACTCTCCCTCCCCTCCACACTGTTTCTGAACCATATACCACCTATGTCTAGGCTAAGCCAGTAGATGGGTCACTGGCTTCCAGCCTCTAGTCCACAAGTTCGTACTGTTTTCTTAACAACATCTCGGCCAGGTCAAGCAATATTCTGCTAGTAGTGATAGTTCCTGAAGGCCACAATTTAATGGGACAACAGATGCCCCTACATAAAGTCTTTCAGAATCTTTTGGGCAAAGTATGTGGCAAAGTGTGGATCCCACTCTTCCACTCCTTCCCCACTGTCATACCAAGTCTCAACTCCTCCAGAAAGTGCCCATTCACATCTGTCCAGTGGCTATGAAATGCCTGGATTTGCCAGTCAAGGTCTTGCATCACACCAGCAACCATCATTCTGTGGGGCGCTGATTCCCACTGTAACCCCTGGACTTTTGTTTTTTTGTTTTTAATTTCCACCCCTAACTCTGAAGGTTACCCTCCTCAGGATTCCCGTAGTCTGCAGCAACACTTCCTCTCCGGCTGTCCAAAGGGAGAGTAGCATCCAGCATGTTTTGCCCATAAGGTCGATCTTTGGGTATAGCTTTTATTTTCTGTTTTCTTAAGACAATATGAAAAGACAAAGAATTCCACTCTTTGTTACAGGTACTATTTGACACATTTAACTTACAGTCTTTTGATATAGCCAGAGCGTGATAGCTACCATTAAAAAGAGAAGAAAGGGAGGAGGCATTTAGCGAACGGAATGAGATGCTTGCATCCCACATCAGAGTGCCTGGGTTTAAATCTGGCTTCAGATCCTGACTCCAGCTTTCACCAGTGCCGATTCTGGGAGACAGTGGGGGCTGCTCTAGTAACTGGGTTCCTGTTCCTGTTTGTGGAAGCCTGGATTGTACTCCTATTTCCATGCTCCAATTTCAACCCCAGTCCAACCTTGGCCATCATGTTCATCCAGGGCGTGAACCAGCAAATGAAGGATCTCTGTCTGTGTGCGTCTCAAAAAAATTTCAAAAATTAAAAATAGGAATAAGAAAAAAAAGCAAATAAATGAGAAATAGAATGCAAAATGTCCTGTCAAATTTTGAAGCTTTACTTCCATAAAAACAGAAAGAAAACAAACTACTATGCATCAAACTAAAAAAAAAAATGTAACTGAATCGAAGCCAAAAACAAAATAAAACCCAATAAAACTGGAACATCCTCATCCCGGTGGACTTATAGTGCTAATTACAAAATACAAGTAACTGATACTCATGCCTTCTAAATATAAGTTTTTTCCTCTCAGAAAAGAGAAATGAATGGGTGTTAAATAAAAACATCCTATGGAGCATTTCACACCTCAGGAAAGAAAACTGACAAAGAAGGGCTTCCATGCAAAAAGAAAAAATTCACCAGCAAATAGCAAGGTCTACTTAAGATAAGAAAAACCAGAACGCTCCCCAGCAGAGGCTGGGTGCTTGCCCTGTCTGTGAGTGCTTTCGTAATGCCCGAAAAAAAAAATACATACACTTCTCTTTCACAATTGAAACTGGATAATTGATCATTTCCAAAAATAAATACTCCCATAGATAGAGGTCACTGGTTGCTTGCAATTGCATCACTTCGTGTCTGGGCCCCAGAATCCTGGGCTCCTCTGGGACGTCTTTGTCATTTTATCAGAGTGATTACCAGCAGAGTAGTTCCAGTGTGGGTCCCCTCAGCTTCTAGCCCTTATGTTTGCTCTCTGCGTTCTTCTTTTCTCCATTAAGCCTCATGGCTTTTGCTTTGGAAATCTGGCACTTAATATCCAATGTTAATTACATTTCCTATTCAGAGGAAAATCCTATTGGGCTAATTTTTCAAAATCATATAATGAAAGAACTTCAGTGACAAACCATGTAGATTTTCGATTGTTTTTTACGGGTAGATCTATTAAGCACTTAATATTCAGTGGGAAAACAGACTCAGAGCAATGAAATTCTATTACTTTAGAGGTTGCATGCTTTTAATTTCTTAATATTTCATTACATGTTGGCAACTGGTGCATATTTTTATAATGCGTTTGATCATTACTCTTCTCAGGGTATTCTATTTCAGTTCTTCCTCTGACATCATATTTGCATGTTAAAGGGTTTTAGCATTCAGGGATGAAATGTTCTGAATAGTAATGTGCAGTTAACTTGATTTTTTAAAAACGGAAAACAGCAAACAGACATTATATATAGAGACTAAAGAGAACAATCTCATAATTTTAAAATCGAACTCAAATTTTAATAGCTTTCTATAGAACATCGTAAAAGGTAATGATTCAATATAATTCATTAATTAGCAAATTATGCAAAATGCTATCAGCAGAGTTTGGGGGAAAGGATATTTTTCTGCAGCTTTTATAAGTCTAAAGCATTTCTTTTTTTTTTCTGTAAAAAATGATCTTTCCTTTGCTCTCCAGCAACATCTACTGGAAAAGTCAGAAAAATGCTATTTATATGAATCAGATAGTTTGAGTAAGGATAGCTTTGATTACCACCTGCCTAAAAAGTGCGTGCTGAGCTGCCATCCAGTTTACAAAACGGAATTATTTCTGCTCACTTTAGTTCTATTTTGTTCTCTGGGAAGACAGTGGCTCAGTGATGGAAGGAGCCAGGCTACAACTCCAAAGTTCTCGTGACTTCACGCTGAAGAAGTCATTTCCATAAATACAAGCGAAAAAAAAAAACCACACACACACATAAGATACAACATATTCCTCCAGGCCCATCTTCTCATTGTGTGCCATTTACTTAAGACATAACCGTCATTACCAGTGGCAAGATCATCATCCACAATAGTTGGGTGTAGCTAGAGTCCAAGAGCCGATTTCATGGAAGAAAGTGATGTAGAGACACTGATTTTGAGAAAGGTTGTGAGTACGTCAAGATTTTGCTAAGTTTCTTAAGTTGAAAAAAGGCTACACGTGATGTGACTTTTAAAACTCCCTATGTTACCACCAACATGACGACATCAACCATTCTACAGCAGCTGCTGTTTCCCTTGTCCACACCTTTCTCTGCTCTTTCAAACAAGAAGAAAAAATAAGTTTCCTCACACCTGAATCAGAGGGCTTCCCAGGAAACTTCGGCTGGAGATTCTCACTGGGTAATGAAGTATGATCAGACTCACAGTCCATCTGATCTCCTGTTCCCAGTATTCAGCAGTTCCTAACGTCCCCAAACAACTGGATTCACGGGCTGCACCCACAGGATGCCATTAGACGGTCTGGCAAGCACGAGACATGCCAGCCTGAGGGACTGAGGAGTGAGCCCAGTTTGGAATCGAGAAGAAAATATAAAATCTTAACACCGATCAAATACACAAAATACCCTCCCAAACGTGGCTGCTCAACTCAACAATGCATCGTGCAGTTCTGTTCAGGACCAAACCTTCTGCAGGCATTCAAGTCACCTTTCTGTATCTCATTCTGGAGAAGCATTCTTTTAACAGCATTCTGCACTTTTAACATTCAGATTCTCCCATCCCCACAAAAATCATTTAAAAATGAATTGAAAGATTTTAGGTAATATCTCAGGTGAAAACCTAGCTATAACTTGGATTTTGGTTACCCTTAAATTAAAAAAAAAACTGGGCTAATGACAGGATTAGTATTATTTTTGCCTTCCCAAATCTTAGTTCATTCATGCCAGCAATAAATTTCAGCAGCAGAAGTAATGAATGCAAAACCAACAAAGACTGAAGGGAAAGACAAATAGTCAAAACTTTAAAACAACAGCAGCAGCAACAAAAAGCAAGGGCTGGCAGATTACAGAATATTGCATTGGGGGTTTGCTGAATGCTAAAATAGACGTGAGCATTCTAAGCTGCATCCCAAAGCTCTTGAAAGGAGAAATGCCATCAAATACAAGCCACGACGCCCATTCACGGCGCACAAAAGGGACATATTCCTAAAAGCTACTCCCAGTAGAAGTCCACACGTTTGCCCCACTGCGGGTCCAAATGCAAAGTTGCGACTTGAGACGGGTAATTAGCCCCCTCCATTATCGAGCCGCTTAAAATCCAGAAAGGTTTAACCAACAGCACTGCCACAGTTAACTCCTATTGCGAACTGTCATAATTCAGTCATCTTGGTTATCGACTGGACCCATTTCTAAAACACACCCGAACCTGATGTTTTAACTTCCTATTGCGTTTGGGACAACACTTATTCTCCATTTATGAAACAGCAACCTGAGACAGGTGAAAGAGATAGAAGAAGCACTTCACGCACAGCAGCCAAGCCAAACATGACCCCAGCAGCCAGACTTCAATAAACTCTACCCTTGCTTAAACCACCGGTGAAAATTTCTTATAATGCATCAGAAGTTCAGCGAGAAGAAACATTTCAAATGCCAGCTGTCTCCCAGGGTTTAAGTCCCGGAGTTCAAAAGCAGTATCAATTGGATTAGTATTTTTTTTTTCTCCGTTAGCTGTTTAGAATTTCACGTAATGCAAAGTGCTCTTCGGATCAAAATCATCTTTCTCATCTCTCCCCTTAAATAAAACGGAAGAGAAATCATTCCGTATAAATGCGTTTACTATACAAATCTATTTTCAATTGAATTTGCTGCATGCTCTAATTCATCAAAATTAATACAGGTACTTTCTATGTTAAACAAAAGGAAGCCGACTGAAAAATCGGCTTCTGCTGCGGATGCCTTCCTCAATTACAAAACGGTGAAAACAGAGATTTAACTAAGCCACTCGGTCAAACCCTCCGATCGGCGCTCTTACCTGCCTCAGCTGAAGGCTTCCTTCCCTTGTTAGCAGCGTGCAGCATCTCTCGCTCGCTCCAATCCTCACCACCGGTCTCAAATTACACTGCTAAGTCCACCCCCCCCCCCTCGTTTTTTTCTTTTTTTTCTTTCCTTTTTTTTTTCCACCAAGAAAATGCTTATTGAAAGTGATTAGTTTTTGTTGTCCCTTTTAAGTCCCTCCTGCGGGAAGGAACTGGGGAGCAATGTGACGCCACCTTTTAATCTTTTGTAAGAGTGAAAAGGCAGAAAAGGAACGCTCGATCAAACTGAGCTGCACACATGACCAAAACTCGCAGGAGAGGCTGCTGCTGCCTGGCGAAAGCACCGCTAGGCTTGAGTGTAAGAACAGAGAAGAGAGGAGAGTCAATGGAATGTGACAACGTATGTGCATCAAAGGCAGGAGCAGAGACAGAACAATGAACAAGGGAAAGGCAGCGAGGAGAGAGGGAGAGATGGAGAGAGAGAGGGAGAGAGGGAGGAGAAGGAGAGAGGAAGAGACGGGGAGGAGAGGGAGAGAGGGAGACAGAGAAGGGAGAGAGAGAGGACAGAGGAAAGATAGAGCAGTTTCAGGCAAAGGATTCTCAGAATACAGCCACAGAGCAGAGTCTGGCAGCTTCTGTTTTTCTCTCAGCGAGCATGATACACTGCCTCTCTCATTTAGAAACACATTCGTGTTTCTTGCAGGTTTGAAAACTGAGATAATCGCAACGTGTCTCCGGTTTTGTCTGATTGGCATTTAACTGTGCGGTGTACCTGTGATTTTTTAGGATGCATTTATGTGCAATTTATTTCGCATATTTATTTATGTAGGCAAAAATGAAAGCTGCTAATTTCTACGGCAATTTGCAATGTAGTTTTACTGGCAGATGGAACTCTACTTATCATAACTGCTGACAAACTGCCACGGGTAAACAAAAGAAGAAACAAATGCTTCGTCTTGATAATTGTCTCAAAAAAAAAAAAAAAAACCCACACCAAAACATTAGCACTTGCAGCAAAACCTATGTTTCGGAGTTCAAGTTGAAAAGGTATTTTTCAATATTAGTTTTATCAGTAAAGACAAAATAAAAGGGAAGACATGAGGTTTGAAGGAAGGTGTTGGGTAAAAAAGCTAATGGGAAAGTGGAAACCTGGATTCTTTCTGGCTTCCCTCTCAATGTGACTACAAGATTGCTTTCTTGAGTCCTGGAGCCGAGTTTTTGAGTCACGATTCCTACAGCCTTCTACTGCATCTTTCTGCTTTTTCATACCACCATAAAGTAGGCTCCATTTTTAAAATGAAGTCAAAAAGAAATGATTTCCCAATTCAAAAGGTTTTAAAAGGTGTCTCACCAACTTTGTTCCATCTCTACTCATCTCCTGCCACTTGGGGGCTGGGATTACACAGTTAAATTCCCCAGGTAACTTCTTTTATAAGGATGCAAATTGCCGATTCCAAGGTCAAGTATTTGGTGTAAGTTATTGGTAAAAATAACTGCGTGCTTTCCATGGTAACCTGAACTAGACCAGTAATAAGCCAGCAGGAAGAGAAGACACCAAAGCTTTTGACTATCTCTTTGAAATGAACGAATGCCAATATTAGAAGATAAATTCCACACTTACCATTTTGGAAAAAGTACAAAAAATGTCAACCAAGCAACAAGCCAAAACACTTGACCGTTTCAACTACAAGAGATCTATGGATGCTTGGCTTCTTATGTTTTGGGTTTCCTGTGTAAGCCACTAGATGTACAATGAGATTTGGTCTAAGAATAACACACCCTCTCCTGCCATGGCCACAATGCTGTATCCAAAGAGGGATTGCTTAATCTCGTTAAACTCCAAGTGTCAGACTTTTCATCGTTTGCCAATAGAAGGATTTGGTTTGTTGTTGTTGTTGTTTTCTTGGACACAAAGAAGTAACCCCCTACCACCACCACTACCAATATACCCATGAAGAAATTTTGCTTGTCATTAAGGCAGAGCAGAGAATGGAGAACACACAGGGGCTGAACAGAAGGCAGCTGGCCAGAGAACAGAGAGTGCTCAGATGTAGACGGGAAAGGAAGCTGCAAGGCCTGATGAGCTACGAGAGAAGTCCTGCCTATTAAATCTAGAATTCTCTGTAGACATTTCACACAGTGTATTGGAAGCAGCCTCTTTTAAATGACATTATTGATACAGGTTCTATAGTTAAAATTAACTTTATACAAGGGAATAAGTGGATTGAGAATTTTCTGCCAATAAAAATAAAGACCCACTTACAAGCATGCAACTATTTCCATGCCATAAAAGCAGGGGAGGAGGCCTGGGGCTTATTGAACAAGATCAGCAAAACAGAGTCCATGAAAGAAAAAGAAATCAAGGCCGGACAGAAAGGGAGATTTTTTTTCCACAAAAAAGCTGTAAATGGCTATCAGTGTTTTCACTTATTCTTCACTTTCTTAGTGAGGAGGTCGGTAGCCTAAATGGATAATATTTTTAGTTCGATATATATGATTTATTCTTAAGATAGCTTGATTGAAGGGGATATTTCCTTATACTTTTGTGTCAAAAGTGGTTCAAACCAAGTTAATATGACCTGACTTTCAAATGACTGACTTCTCTGTTGAAGAGCCTTATGTTCATATGCTTATATTCTGGGCTAGCAGGTGCTTGATATTTGGAATCAGGTTGCCTAGGACTGAATCTCTGCTCTCATCTGATTGCTGTGTGACCTTGACCACATTATTTTGCCTCTCTATAGCTGATTTCTCAGAATGGGCATAATACTACTTGCTCAGTTGGCTGGCATGAGAAATAAATGATGTGTGTGCCGTTGTGAGTTCTGTTCCCAGCACAATGCAAGTTCTTTATGAAAGCTAACCCCTATTATTACAAAATCCACTCAACAGCTTCTTTAAAAATAGTTAAATAAGTAACATAGACAATATTTCATCATCTCAACGTGCATGACTCACAAAACTTTCCACTTTGACCTTCCTGAGAAGCTCCAGTCATTCCTATTGCCCTCTGGGTCTTCCACTGGGTGACAAGCTTAAATCTCAAGTTCATGACCACACCCATGCACCAGGCCTCAAAGCAAGGTCTTCCTCTAGATTCCCTTGCCAGTGTCAAATGTAAAAATCTCTGAATCATTCTTTGGCTTATCTCTTTCCTTTCTTCCTAATAATTCAACTAACCTTATCTCTTCAAGTTAACATTTCCAGACCCCAGACACCTCTTGATCGGTGAATTTTGCCTGGACTACTCTGACAAGCCTTTTAATACAGCACTTCTCCACGTGTTTCATTGCTGAAACACAAGGGGAGTGAAATGTAGCAGCCACGCCTGGGAACACTGCTAGGGTCCCGCCGTTAGAGCACCAGATCATCACCCTTCAGTCTTTGCTCTGCTCTCAAGAAAGCACTTGGAATCTGAGTGAAGGAGAATGACATTGTTCCAGGAATGACCTTGAATCTGCTCTAATGTATAAAGCAGCTAATTTGTGGCAAACCAATCCTTTACTATTAGCGCTTTGTTAGTTGTGACACTTATCCCAGCTGTCATGACAGACACACAACTGAAAACAACCATTTTAAGAAGTTTTCTTCTCCAATTCATTCTTCACAAGTCAGAATAACCTTCTTAAAATGCCACTCTAAATGCCATCCATTCCCAATAGTTATTGATTGCTCAATTGAAAGTCAGTTTTTTTCATTATCTTATGTATTGGCTTAAAAATCATCAAAGGCTCACAGTTCCTTAGAGAATCAAGAGGAGATTTCTCTGCCTCACATTCAGTCACCTCTGAGGTTTGACAGCCACCTGTCCATGAAAACACCCGCGCCCTCATTCCTGCCCAAGTGCTTACTGCTCTGCAGCCTGATCCATATGCATGCCCTCCAGAGCCTCCCGTGCCTTCCTTGTTCTCGTTACAACAACCTCTTCTCCTTCATCACAACCTATTTAATTCCAATCTCCTCATCTAAGACCAGAGCCAGTTACATGTCCTCCACAAAGGAAGGCATCCTTGACCTCTGGTTTACAGCAATGAAATCATTTTATTCACAGTAGGTATCCAAGTACACCAGGAGATGCAGTGTGTCATATCTTGGCTTTGGGTTGGTCCTAAGTCCAAGTCCTGACTCCGAAGTCTGCTTCCTAATTGCAAAAGACTGGTCAAATCCCTCTCCTCTATAAACCTTATTCTCCTCCTCTAAAAAAATATTCTGAGTCCTCCATTAGCTAATACATGTTGCCCATTAGCACAAACCTTATTAAACAGCTAGTGCCTACAAGATAAAAAAAATTCAGTAATAATACAGTGCTTCTTAAATGAAAGAGACTTATTATTACTTCTAATTTCTATACCTCAGAACAATCCACCCAATAGCTGCTATTGGAACCATTCTGCAGAAGATGAAACTGAGGTTTATAAAACCAACCTACTCAATGTGGCACAAGGAAGAAATGGCAAAGCTAGGGTGTAAACCCTTACTTTTCTACTGTTTCATTGTTGTCATGCATACCAACTATTTATAACTTAGCTCATCCTATGTTGGTTTGCTATGATTTGTGTTTTGAGGGGTGTGCCCCACTTTCCAACTGTACTATTAAATGAATGAGAGCAACATTAACGTGTCCAGATCTCTACTTATTCAGGACCTTCCACACGTATTTAACAAAGAATCTTTGCTTACTCCGTAGATGTTTGTTGACTGCTTCATCATCTGTGCTCTTGGGGATGAAAATTTTTCATCACATTGAAATTCAGTGACACTGTTTTTTGAGGAAGTGATTTCATCATCCTTTCTATGAAAGCCATCATAATTATACAAAATAATATAAAAGACAAACATTACATATGAATGAGCCATGCAGATAGAAATGAATGAAGGTCCCTATGTGGAAAAAAAAAAGTATAGGAAAGTGACACTCATCAATTTGGTTCCTCATACTTGGCATTTATATTCTGCTTGAAGATGAGCCCTTTGGCTGACCATTCAATGTATAGGAAGGGGAGGTTATGATCTCAAAGTAACATACTGAAGGTTACACAGAAAGGCAGAAATAATACTCCAACACCCACAGTGTTCAGTCACCTTTCATTCTTGCTTGTCACATAAATATAATAATTATGTTTTCATTTATTTTTTCCTTAGTGTAGTGTATATAATGCTTAAACAATTTGGAACAATGGAAAAAAATGCAGTCAACTGATTTCCTGTGTTTCTATGTACAGAGTCATGATTTTCAACAAGTTGAAGAAATGCTTTCATTTGAAATACATATAACTGCACTCCAAAAATTCATGAAAAATTGAAATGAAAGATGTTCATTTTTGTGAACAAAAATTTTTAAAATATCCATGCTGCTGTCTCATAATGTATATTTTTCACAAACTTTTTGAAGACCCTGTTCATACCAGGGTCTCTGCCCATCTGTGCGCAAGTGTAAAGCAACAGAACTAAGGAGAAAAACACACCAGAGGATAATTACTGATATCAAGTTAGCACTGTTTTGTACCTGTCTTGCAATATTCCTATAAACTTCATGAAGTCAGGATATTTTTGTTGTGGTTTGCTGCTGGCTCAGACCAGCACTTAACATACGATGAGTACTTAATATTTATGTGTGTGATAAGTGAATGTGAATAATGAATGGAGTTCTTACCCCCAAAATTTTGTCTAAATTTGTCTATTTCTAATGAGCTTTCAAAATTCCCATGTTTGCATGTATCCAAACAGAAGTCTCACTCTGACACAATCAGATGTTCTCTTTTGTGCAGAATTTGTTTTGTTAAATATTTGTACACCACCCTTCATTCAATATAAAAACTCTCTTCTCCTTAATGATCCTTTCTAGATTACATTTGCTGATGGTAAATGCTTTTTCTCAAATTTCACAGCACCCATTGCCAGGAATATTTATTATACATACTTTTCCAGTTAATCTTGTCTTACCTTTGGATATCTCTTACGGGATGGTCAACTGTTATCCTCCTACTATTAGCAGGTCATTTTTACTGGATTCATTTCCTATTTCATCAGAGAGATTTCAAGTGTCGTGAATGTTGCAAAAGCCAAGTGTCTTTATTTTGGCATAAAATGTGTTGCTAATCCTTTGAGTACTACCCTGTACCTAGAATGTGCTTATAAAAACATGCTATTTGACATCTGTACTAAAATTACTGATGAGTATACAATTCTATCATCCAGAAATTATGTGAAAGAACTTCTAACACATTCCTTGGCCTTTAGTAAACTGTTGTTAGAACACAGCCATGAGAGTGGAACAGGTACTTAGGTTTTTTGTAGCCTTTTCACCCAAAAGTATGAAAGTCTATTTACTTATTTACTTCAGTGTATGTATGCACACTCATCTTTTGAGTTTACGAGTGAGTGTTCAGGTCAATGTCAAAATTAGCTCATATCAAGAAGAAGCTCATGGTAGCAAGAATTAGCAACTTCTCTCTAGAAGAACAGAATTTCCCCCCAATCATTTATATGCTAGTTGGCAAATAGGCTATGTTGACCCATTGCGGACTAGTCCTTAGGTAGAGGATTTCTCAGTTCCACAGGGTCTCCACTATGGGGTGATTCCAACCCGACACATACTTACCTCTTCTGAGAGGTCTGTTTGCCCTTTGGATAAAACAATGTAGAAGTAACCTCAGATTAATAAGCCTTTCTCCTTGGACAAAAGGAGCTTTCTTAGGAAACATGTTTCACCCTCCTGGTCCTCCTGTCTGAAGTCACGAGAGAACTCTGCTATCAGAATTGCCTATAAATAACCACTTAAAAAATCTCTGAAATAAAAAATAAAGAGCATGACCTTTAAAGTTTCATAAAAACCCTTAATGTTTCCTTGTTATTTGTATAGATGAGATAATTCAGGTCCATTTTTCATATCCATTTCTAAATTTGTAATGAGTATGTAATATGATTAAAGGTTTGTGATATAAATAGTTTTCAGAAATTACTTTATTGAATATTATAATTATATCAGATCTTATTTAGCCAATTAGAACAAATTATTTTGCTTATAAAATTGCTAACATTAATTACCATGTTCTGGCACTTTGGTTTTTGTCTGCTGAACAGAACTCAGTCTGGTCTGTTTTCCATTTCTGTTTTTGCATGGTGATTTGAATAACCCCTTAAGTGAAAACCAAAGTAGCTAGCAGCCAGCTAATCATAAAGTAAAAATGGAAAGCAAATCAAGAGAGAACCTCAAATCTCTGCTTCCCATGGTGGACCAAATAGAGTTGGCCTCAATGAAACTCTAAGTAAGAATTTACGTTCCTCTCCATTGATTTGAACACAGGCTTTGGTGGACTATTTGGTTCTTGTTACTGATGTTTTTCAATACGGAACATTTGAAAGCATCCAACCAGAAGTTGCACAATGATCACAGCCTTGAATGTATTCATCAGAAAAACACATTCACTGCTACAGGTTTTATTTTTACGGTAACCAATGTGCTGCACTGTTGGCCAGGTTCTTCAATACTCTTACCCATGACAATCACAAAAGCAATTCACAACCTGACTTATCAGATAGTTCTGTTTTACAATAATCTGGTTGCTATTTGTAAAATCCAGGATAAAACAGTGCAATTTCTGATGCTGAATATCTGAAAAGCTCTGGAAGCTGCTACGAAGAGATAGGCACTAAAATATGTAATGCGATGGAATTACAACAAACAGACATTCTGGAGGGTGCACACTCTAGTGCATCCCAGAGTGTGTGATATTTAATGGTGCTACTTTCAAGATTTGCAAATAAATTCGGCATTTAAACTGCCCACTTCCACTCCCCATTTTTCTTAGCTCCAAATTTAACTCTTTCATTAAGAAAAAAAGTAGAATGCTCTCAAAAAGAAAGATCAGTCAAAGCATTGAGTAACTGTTTCCAGAAAAGAATGGAAGTGGAGATCTCAATTAAATAGTTTTTTTCATGACCTGATTCCTAAATCTCTTGGACTCTGAAAGCAACACCTTTCGGATGAGAATTTAACTAACACGAAAAAGTGGTGATTTTAACACCTGACAAATCCCCTATAATAAGGGGCTTAAACAACAACAAACACACCACTTTTCCAGTGATTAGGCTGTGCAGATGTCGAAGAATAGGGCGATGCACTCCTTAGAAAGAGCATAGACTCCAGTTAAATCTGTTTGGATGTTTGCATGACCCTGTATTTATGTGAGAGAGAAGAGGGACCAACAAACACCACTGAGAGGCAGTAGAGTGCAATAGAGAAAATTATTTTTCATTCCCAGGTCTCCCACCATCTCACTATATGATATTGGCCAAACCGAACCACTTAACCACTACCTGCCTCAACTTCTGCATCCACTCAGTCGAACTACCCTTTCCTGCATACTTGAAAAAAATCAGAGGCTCCTTTCCTCCCTTTGTGAGTTAGATTCCACTAAAGCTAAATCTACTCCAGGGAAATAAGGAATTGTATGCTGAAAGCAGACTACTTTTCTGGAGGTTGCTGGGGCATCAATTAATAGAGTGATGTAATAGACCACTCAATAATCCTGCATTGGCTGGAAGAATTAATGCAGCTCACCTCTGTTGCTTTGAGTGCAATTCCATGTATTCAAAGGATGCTCAATAAATATTAGCTGATGATGATATTGACAGAGTGCAGTGTACAGTCACAGCACTAAGTGAATTACTAAGTTTACAACTGGTAAGAAAACTCATCAAATAATTATTGGCAATAAAAGAAACCTATCCTTGACCTCATTTCCTTTATTATGATATCATCTCATGCATAATAAGAACATCACCAATCTCTGGAAGTGCAGCAGCCTTGTCCTCATGACTTGGGAGAAGAATAAAGTTAACCTTCAAAATACATTGAGAATCTGGGCACTTGTTACAATTTCCATTGTCATCACTGTGCTGTAATCCATCATCATTTATTTTCTGGATTATTACAGAGCCTCCCCATTGTTCTTCATGATGTCCACTTTTGGCCCCTTTGGCAGACTGTTAAGCTAAGGTCTCCAAATGTACCTGACCTGCACACATTCATTTTTTCTTTTTATAGTAGTCTCCCATGTTGACACTGGGACTGGTTTAATGTCTTGCTTTGGCAATGGGGCATAAGCAAACATGATACAAGCAAAGGCAGGGCAAGCTCCCAAGCAAGCTCTACTGCAAGGGGGCCACAGCTATCACAGAAAGTCTTGCCTTCTAGAAAATGAAAAACCATATGGAGGGAGAGTTTTTATGGAGTCCGGTCTCCATGTGACTCAGTTACTAGATGTAACTGTGTGAGTACCAGAAAGCCCCGTGAAGGAACTGCCCAGTGAACACATCGAAATCTGAGAAATAATCAATGACCTTTGTTCCAGGTCACCACATTTTGGTATAGTTTGTTATCTAACAGCAGACAATAAACATAGTTCTTTCTGATTCTCAATCCTGCAAACAGAATGATTCTTTTCTAATATCAACTGGATAATCTCAGTTCTCTGTGTAAAGCCATTCAAACATCCCTCATCAAAAAGGTGTAAAAATTGCATCACCCCCTTCTTCCAAATCCTGCATCCATTCTATTCTTTTTCCACTACACATAGCTCTTCTACATCATTACTATATAGTTTACTTATTTTGGTAACTGTTTGACTCCATTTATCAGAATGTAAGATCCAAGAGGGTGGAACATTGTCTTTCTGGTACATTGTTAGATGCCCATACCTCACACCATGACTGGCACATAGGATAGACAGTATTTGCTCAGTTACAGAATGGATCTCAGAGTTGAGCAAGCCAGTGCTCCTGTTTAGGTTCTACAATAAATGGTAAAGCTGAGAGTGACCAAAGTCTGGAAGGGCACACAAGTGGGTGCAACTGATGATCTTTAATGAGAACTCTCTTGACAGACACAGAGCAGCCTTATGGTCATGGAAGAGATCAAGAAAGTCCTTTGGGAAGTATTTGGTGGGAGATGGTGGGAGTGTCTCTGCAGCAGGTGGTAAGAACTACAATTGATAGCAAACAGAGGTGACCCTGTACCACATCACCCACCCAGGAAAGGCAAAGGCGATATGCAGAGGAGGCAAAGGAGATTCTCCAAGCTTGCATGAAGCTAAAAAGCAAGTCATACAAGCAGCACAAGAAGAGTCACACCACCAAAGGGTAAATCTCATCTTTTTCTTTGGAAGACAAAGTTTGTGATGAGCCTGTACATTTTGCAGGAAAATCCTAGCAATAAATTTATTTGAGGCTTTGCTCACGCTGCTCACAGGGTTGAGAACACAAATGGAGCCAGCCCTGTTACAGCACCCAGGCACATGCCCAAGGACATGATGCACTGGCATTTGTGCTCCATGAGCATTTATATTACTAGGCTTACCACCATTTTCTTAAACAGCAAGCACCTGATTTGATCACAAAGTTGGCCAAGCATCAGCCACAGCTTCCATTCCAATATCTCACTTTGTGAGCTCTTCACGGGAGAAAAAAGCCCATCTCAACAAGGCACAGCCTGGGCCGCCAGTGCAGCCTCCAGCTTGCAGCACAGGTGTGCGGCCAATAATTCACCTTAGTTAGCTGGGAACAGACGTGACCTGTGATGACTTAACTTCACCTTACTGACTCAATCTTGGTGCAAATCTCTTCTAAAACCATCCATTTTCCTCCTGGCCCACACCTCATTTTCCCTGTTGCTCTGCAATTATTTATTATCTGGCTCCGTAATTGCATTGTTTATAGCAGCCATGCAAACTCTATTGTTAGGGGGAAAAATGCCTCTTTGCCCAAGTAGATTCTTTGGTGCAGGGAATAAAGGATGTTGGTCTCTTAGAGCTCTTAATATACAGCTCTCTCTCTGTTCAATTTTCCTAAAAATGAAAATTGCCAAAAAGCAAAGTATGCAGGAGATGTATGGTCAGATGCTATTGCAGCCTCGCCTTCTCACTGATGGATAGTGCCCCCTCAATGACTGGGAGCACTCGCTAACTCACTGCCATGCTTCCTGCGTTCAGAGAAGCTGGCATGAGGCAGCCCTGCCCAGCAGCAAATCCCTCCCCCCTCTCCACCACTTTTAACTGCTTCAGTTAGTCATTCTTGGCCTTTTCTGCAACCAAAACACCACCAGGCACAGCAATTATCCCAGCCCAGCAGATGACACTGAAAGGTGGTGCTGGGACTTTGTCTCAAATTGTGTGTGTGTTTTTTAAAATGATTCTATTATACCTATTTCATCATTTTGACCCCACTTAACATAAAATATTTACTTCACGATTTATGGTGGGGGAATGCCACCAAAATTTTTTTTCTTTGATTTCATTACAAAAGAAGCAAATGTGGTTTCACTTATGAAAAAAATATGTTATTCTTAACAATGAGGTGTAAACTGGTGTCTGCTTCATCTGTTCATCGTGGGACTAAGGCCTAACACGCATCTCTCCTGCTTCATTTCTGCACCAGTACCTGGGAAATTAAAATCTTCCATGGAGTTCTTGTAGCATCTCTGATTTCTTAAGAAAAAATGAGATAGGAGTTTCCTGCTGCATCCTTTATGAGCTGTAGAGGCATTTATTTTGCTTCATTTTTCATATCTGTGAATTGTGGGAGACAGCTACATTGTCTGACCTCAGCCATGTGCAGCAGAAGTCCAGCTTTCTCTGGCCTCTCCTCTCTCCCCCCACAGTTGTGGCCTCCTGCATATCCCGAAATGGAGAGGAATTAATAGGGGAACCAGAGTATTATTTATGCATTGACCTTGGGCTCCTGGGGGAATTACAGGCGCTATTCTTTCACTTATGATGTTTTACATTTCAAAGAGCCTAGCTCGCTTTGATATTAAAGAATGAAATGTGCAATGTAATTGTTATTGTTTTATGACCTTTAATAGGTTAATCAGGCTGCATCAGATTTTCCAGTGTGCCGTTCTTTTCCAAAGGAAATGATTTGCCTCATTGTAGATGAATTCTGAAAAAGGGGCT